CTAACATTGCCTTTTGGGTGTAAGCCCTTATAGATGTATTTGCAGCAATGTGCAACCCTTTCGACAGGATGTTCTTCATTTTTGGTGGTATCACTGTTCATTTGTTTGACAGTGAGGGAATTGTCATCAGTCCCTGGTGTTTTAATCTCCTCTTGGTCAGCATCTCTTTCACAGTTTTTCTTGTTGAAGCTTCTTCCCACTTTGACTGCATTTCTTCCGTTGAAACCTTCAGTGGTCTTAGTGGCATTCTCACTGTCGAAGTCTTCAGAAATTTTGACTTCTTTTGCCTCAGCCTGGCCAGCAGAACTATCACCTTCTTCCACCACATTGACATGGGTGTCGAAACCTTCAGCAGCTTCTATCATGGTGAAGTTGGTGTCGAAGCTTTCAGTAACTCCTACCACTTCAGAATTTTCTTCTGCCATGATCTCCATTTCGACCACGTTTACCATTTCTGGCTCAGCATAATTTGCCTCCACAATCTGCATGGGATTGGAGTCAATCTTCATCTGCTGCTTGCCTTTGTCTCCAAACTTCAACCTTCCATTTTGGATTGCATTTTGGACAAGATCCCTGAAAAGGTAACATTGAGAAGTTTTATGACCCAAGAAATTATGGTATTTGCAAAAACCTCTCTTTTTCTGTTGGTCTATAGGAGGCTCTTTAGTGCCTGCTGGTTTTATTAACTGACCATCTTTGACTAGTAAATCAAATATCTCATCACACTTGGTGATGTCGAATGTATAGGTTCTTTTAGGGAACCTGTCATTCTTTTCCATTTCGACTGGACTTTTTCCATTCGACGGGGCTAAAACTTTACAAGAATATGGAGGGCCTTGCTTTAATTCTGCAAGATCAATTTCTTGCTGGTCGAAAATGACTGGTTCGTTTTCGTCGTAATCATCTTGAACCATTCCTACATAGGCCACTCTTTCCTTCTTGTTTTTATTTGATCTAAATTTCTCATTTTTTAGTCTTTCTATCTGCCTTACTCTGTCTGCCAACTGTGCCATGTCTCTCAGATATTGGGTATCCAGTTTTTTCCTTATGGAATAATCAAGACCCCCTGCAGCCATTTCGACTAGTTCTTGTTCCGGCACTTGCGTAAAGCATCTGGCTTTTAATAATCTAAACCTATTCAAATAGTCATCTATGGGTTCAGAAAATTTTCTTTTGACACTTGCCAACTCTTTCAAACTTATCTTGGTTTGTCCCATATAAAATTGTTCATGGAACAATCTCTCTAATTGGGTCCAAGTAAAAATTGAAGTTGGAGGAAGTGACGTAAACCAAGTGAAAGCGTTTTTTGTCAAAGAACTTGGGAAATATTTCGTCCTTAAGTTCTCGTTATTAGCAATCTCTCCCGCTTCTATCAAATAACGTGCCACGTGTTCTATGGTGGATTCACTAGTATCCCCTGAAAATTTTGTGAATTTGGGGACTTTCCATCTTGGTGGTAACTCTTGTTGTAAGATAAATTCAGACAAGGGGGAAGTATAACTAGGCCTTTGTAATCCTACGTTTACTCCGTTTTGTGCCATTATTCTCTCCACCATGGTGGCAATATTATTTTCGACAGGCATGTTATTGTAACGCATTCTCTGCTGTAACACTTCGTCAGCATTTTGGTTTCTCTGGACTATTATCCTTCTTGGTTCCTGTCGAATAGGCTCTTCTACATTAGGCTGTTCGACCATCACCTCTTGCCCCCTGGGATTTTCCTGAGGGTTCCCTAAGGGCCTTTGGTTTATAGTGAGTTCCTCTTCGACAGCCCTATTGGCAGGATTCTGGTTTAATTGCATTCTTTGTTGTGCTTGTGGGACTCCAAAAAAATCAGCAATGCGTGCCATCTGTTCTGCCAATATTTGGTTTGTTTGGGTAGTGTTTTGTATTAAGGGATTGAACACGTCTCCCATTTGTTGTGTCAGAGCCTGCACCATATCATGATTGCTTTCATCCATCTGTTGACGGATTACTTGTGCAGAATGGTTTGTCATAGCGGGCATATGGAAACCTGGTGGAATTTGATTCATTCTATTTCCATTTCCACCATATCCTGATCCTTGCAATGGTGATGACACTTGAACCATGGCATCAGAGAATAATGGTGACGAATTATGTAGGCTTGCCATCATTGAAGTTGGCATTCCGTACGGTTGTTCTCTCCCAGCCAAAGGCTGAGAATAATTCAAATATGGCCTGAATGTATTTCCTCCAGGGGGAGGGGTTCCCAAGGGTCTGGCGTGTCCCATGGTGGAAGAACTAGGCGCATTCTGGGATCCTGAACCCGTTGGTATGGAATCCCCCAAAGGAGGCCTAATCTGTTCTAAAACAGGGCCAGACACTGGTATTGTTCCTGACGAAGGGATAGGATTGGAAACTGGAATGGTTTCGTCAGAAATATTTGAAGCATTTGGCAAGTTAGCCATGTTTCTTCTTCTTGTTCTCTTTGGTCTCTCTATGTCGGTTACGGCTAATTTACCGCTTCTAAGAATCATACAACGTAGCAAGGAACAATTTGTCTAAAAATTTCTATTAGATTTTATCAAATGCACTGGTCCCACTGGGCGTGCCAATTTGTTCGCTGTGTTTTCTGGCGAACAACCTCTGGTTAACCAATTTCTTCAGAAAGTTGGGTTACTTGCAGGACCAACCATACAAGTCCTAGGATACATGTGCATTTGGTTCTGTCGAAATACTCTTAGACTTTTGGTGACTAATTTGTGGTTTGTTTTATCAATATTGTCAAAGTATTAAGGACTTTGATTTTGCAAGTAAAGAAGTTTGAACTTAAAGGTGAAATAAGGTTAAAAGTTTAAACAAGAACAAAGAAATGTCGAAAGGCTAAAAACTTGCAGAAAAGTAAATGAAATGTAAAATGACATGAACTTGAAGAATAAACAAGTAATGAACTTGAAGAATAAACAAGTAATTTAAAATGACTTTGAAATATAACTGGTGTTTTAAACGTACATTGTTCCAAATACTAGACTCATTTTCTCTCACACTGGGTACTTAGAGCTTTTACAGGAATTTTGTACAAATTTTCACACACACATTCTAACCACAAACTATCCTATTTATACACAAACAAAATAACTGCTTAGAACGGAAAAACTATAACTAAACGACAGGTGTCAGCCTGCATGTAAATTTCTTCTCTGAAACCTCCATGTGTCCAACTGCCAAAGGTTACAACCTTTGAATTTGAATCTCTTCCTTGGTGACGAAACCTTGTAACTCTTCAAAACTGTCGAAACCCTTTTAAAGGAGAAAAAACTCTTCAGTACTTGCCAAACCTTATCTTTTATTAACAAACTTCTTCTGTCGAAGCCCTCAGTCACAAATTCTCCAAACTATTCTGCCAGAACATTATATCTATTTCTGTCGAAACAATGAAACTTTAAAACCTTGTCAGCAATTCTTGGATTCTCCTCCTGTCGCTATCCTTCGACAAAGATGACCTTAAAGCCTGAATTTTAATATTGTCGAAATTATGGTCTTGTCGAAATTATGGGTTTACACTAGGGAAAAGTCTTTTTTTGTCATGTTTTCAATCAAAGATAGACACTATAAAGTCGAGTACGATGAACTACATATGTTATGTTTAAACTGTGGATGCTTCAGTCGTAATAAATAAGGTTGTGATGAAGTTCGTCAAAAGATGAATCCCATGATTGGAAATACTAAGGATCAAGCTAATGAGAATAAAAGTAACAAATATGTAGAAAAGGGACAGTAGATGGTGGTTCATAAACACAAAAGATCTCGCAGAGGCAAAAAGGTGGAGGAGAAATGATCAGAAAAAGGGGTTACGACAAAAGTGGCTGGTTTTTCGGCACAAGTTAATGCCATAAATTGTCGAGAGAAAATCATGGGTTCTCGTTTTATTGCTATTGAAAAAGATTTTCCCGAAATAGTAATGGCTAATAATGATGAATCAATTATGGAGAATAATGGTGTAACGGTTTTGGATGGAAAATAATGGTGTAACGGTTTTGGAAAAAACAAAAGGACCACTGAAAAAATGATAGCGTGAGAATAAGTGGAAACCAACCACATGAAAATAGACACGTGGAGAAAGAATTTGTTTAAGTTAAAAAGAATAAAGGGAGGAGCATAAACAAAAGAATAAAAAGAGGAGCATAAACAAAAACCTAGTCATTGGAGCACGTGGGATAAGGAAAAAGGGAAGGTGGACATTGCTGGTAAAACTAAAGTCATACTAGAATGCATCATTGAAGAGCAAAGGTTGATCGAAGTAGTTATAAGCCTAAACATTCGGGAGATTCCAAATGATGTGTTAAACCTTGAGAAAATTGAGGGAAAGACGACCTATTGGACATGAATAGTCTTGATCAACTTGGCCCAAAGGCTTTAAGAGCCCAAAGGTCAAGTAAGGAGAGCAATGAAACTTTTGGACATTCTAATTCGAAGAAACCCCAAATTCCTCTTCCTCTACTCTCGAAAAAAAAGATGACAAAGAAGTGTTTGTGGACGCTAGGGATAGATTTTTTTTTTGAAGATGGAGAATCTGACATGGAATTGGTCAAAGAAACTCCAAGTATTGAACTTGGAAACACCCAATAATCTAATCTTATGGTTAATTGCAATCTCAATATTTTCATCTAGAATTGTCGAGGAGCGACTAATAAAGCTTTTATGCGAGTTTGCAAACACTACTGGAAAGTTAATAAACCAGAAATTATAGTTGTGTTGGAGACAAGGATTTATTCGGAGAAGCTTGAAAAATCATTCAACTTGATGTGTTTCGATGGTTATGGTTGCACTCAGATCTAGGGGTACACAAAAGTCATTATTCTAGCATGGGTTAAAACACGAGTTAATATTGACATCATTGAAAAACACTTCCATTATATGCATGCCAAAATAACTCAAATAAAGATGAGGCTTGATTCTTTACTCTAATCTAAGCTAGTCCCAGAGAAGATGCAAGATAAGAGCTTTGGCATAAACTTCAGAGAATAGAAAATACGAAGATGAATGGGTGTATGTTAGGTGGAGACTTTAATGATATCTTGAATGCGGAAGAGAAGAAAGGGATTGATTCGATATCAATAAGAGAGTGGAACAAGTTCAAAAGCAGAATTGGTCATTGTGGATTTATGGACCTTGGTTTCAATGACTACCAATTTACCTGGAGAGGATCAACCTACCATTTTGGCAAGAGAATATATGACCGGTTGGATAGGGCCTTGTGTAATGATTATTGGAGGATGAAATTCCTGGATGCTTTTGGGAAAGTTCTGACCAGGTTAAAGTACTCCTATCATCATCCTTTCTTCTTATCTTTTAATGATCAGCACCATAGCTCAGCCACTCCCAAGTTTAACTTCGAGGGTGTGTGGCTCTTAGAGGAATATTAAGTTAAAGTGCTAAGAAAAAATTCGAGGAATCAATAATAGAATGTTGGAAAATTTAGAGTAACTTCGAAATCACTTGTCCTTGTGGAAATTTAGTACGATAAACAAGATGCATGTTCGAACTGCAGTAAAGCGGCAAGAAATAAAAATTTAGATTTGGAAGGATTCCTCCGGGATTTATCGCCTCCACATGGATCGGTGAAAGGGAAAGAACGCCATTCAATGGTCTCTATATTTATAAGCTTGTTTTGATTAAACCATAACTATAACAATAATACAGATTAATTTATACAAGATGATGGAGTAGAAAAACAATAAAGAACACAATCATTGGTAACCTAGTTTGATGCAAACAACAACTACGTCTGGATGGTTGACTTCCAACCCAAGAAAAGAAATTCACTAGTGGTGGCTTAGTACAATTAGTCTTACAAGTAACAACAAACCATATGTTGTTCAATCCCTCTTCGTAACACTATCCAATGACTTTTTATTTAAAAATCTCCCTAAATATGAGAACCTCTCTCACTTTTTCTCAATCATTAAACCCTAGTGATTGGTGATTCCTCCAATTATCAATTTTGAATATTACAAATCAACTAGACAAACCTTCTATGCTAAGTTACTAAAACATAAAGGTGTATATAAAGTTGTTGAATATACAACTAAACTAGACAAACCTATAATTATGCCAAGTTATTGAAACATATTATGGTGTACACTAAAATAACAAGGACTCTTGTAAACCCTAGCACTATAAAATCTTCAATGTGAATTCTCTCTAATGTAGGTTTGAGCTCCTTATATAGCATAATAACTCTGGGCTTTTCTCTTTGAATATTAGCTTTAATTTCGTTCATAATTAATGCAGAGTCGGTTGGATATTATTTGTTCCATAAATCTCTCCAACAAGATATTATTTGCTTAAATTTAAATTCAAATTAAAATATTCATTTAAATATGAATTAATCTTCATCCAGCTGTCAAACAAATTATCTAATCATATTGCTAAGTCAATTAGCAATAAAATCTGATCCAATCTTTGACTAGAAATTCTTCAAGAACACATCAACAATGACTTGTTGCGCAAGACCCAAATGTCGTACCAACATGTTGTGACATATCGTGTTCATCATGCCTCCCTTCTACACCTCCATACAGCTTAAGCAAGCTATATTAATCTTGAACACTTTGAAAACATCTTCATGTTGTTGTTTTGCAAAATGCAGACAATCCAAAAGAAACAACAATAATGAAAATAGTTTGTATCAGCTCACATTCGATTATAACATATCTATAATTTATATATGATATAATTTTAGAAAGCATTTGATTTGATAGGCTTCGTAATCGATTATACATCAATCATAATTGATTGTTCGCTTAAAAGAAGATGCATAATTGATCATGGCACACTCATAATCAATTATGGGGTGAAATACACTTCATAATCAATTATGCACATAACCGTAATCTATTATCGAAATTAAAGAACCGTTCTACTTTTAAAAAAATCATTCTTTAAGAGTTTTGAATGAGTGATGTTTAGTAAACTACTTTTGTGAGTGCGCGCGTGTGTATCTTTTAATATTAAGAAAGATATACACTATTATTTACAACATGATTCTAAGAAAAAAATCACTTTGAATCTTGGATCATATTGTAATTTTTGGTTCATATCCATTCTTTGATGATGTTTAGGATATTTAATCATGTAGGGTCGGTCTTCAAAATTTGTTCAACCTTAAACTACATTCTACTATTTTTAATGATGATAAAATATCTCATATGAAGGGGTTTAACACGACAAGTAGAGATAGATGAAAGATAGAATTTTAGCTCCCGTAATAAATAGGAAAAAAACTTCTCCTCAAAAATATATTTCTTCCCATTTAACATTATTTATAAAAAAGAAAAAAAATTATTGCAGAAATGTGTCAAAATTGAAAATGGGTGGCAAATATAAAGACTAAAATATATACACCGTCCTAACAAATATTAAATATTTTGATTTTAGATTCATTAAAATTATTTTTTTAGTTTTCATAAATATATCATCTTTTATTTTTTATCTTTATATTTAATTTAATTTTTACAAAATATATTTATATTGAAATAAGTCATTGTTATATTTATTTTAATTTTGAAAACTAAAATTCAATGTTATACATATTATAAAGATTAATTTTTATTGAATAACTTTTACACAGACTAAAATTAATATTAAATATAAAAACTAATATAATTACAAAAATACAAAAAATTTTAATGACAAATAATACTACATTAAATTAAAAAAAAAAAAAGAGTGACAAAATCACCAAAGAGTTACAATAATAGTATCATGCTGGAAAACAATTAAAAAAAACAAAAAGATAAAAAAAAAAAAAAAAAAAAAAAAAAAAAAAAAAAAAAAAAACATACAGCAAAAAACTTCTAACTAATTCTATTGACCAAGAGGTCCCATAGAAAGCCCGGTCTTATTAAAATGCACCTCGATGATATCAAGTTAGATGTCAAGCCACCACATCCATCATCAACAAATTAGAATCTATTTTAAGAATCCTAAAACAACCAAAAGTCATAATCTACTTTGAAACCAAGACAAACATTCGATCTACTATAAATAAAGGATAAGATTTTAAAGTTAGATGTCAAGCCACCACATCCATCATCAACAAATTAAAACCCATTTTAAGAATTTTAAAAGAACCAAAAGTCATAATCTACCTCAAAACCAAAGCAAACTTTGGATCTACTATAAAGGTTTTGAAGCCACAATCTACTTCGAAAATAAAACAAACACTCGATCCACTAAAACATTTTTTTCAATGAGTAAAATTACAATTCTTAATATCTAAAATTGTATTGACTACAAACCTAAAATATGATTCTCAAGTAATATCATTTATTAATAAATAGATAGAAATATATTTATTCCATGTTTATTCAAATATTATACATAAAATATAGAACAACAATCCATTAATTAGACAATAAAAAGCTTGATAGAGTTTGAATAATTTGATCAGCTTGCAATGCATCTCCAGCAGATTTTGGAAGAGAAGACGTATCTTGAAAACCAGGATCATTAATACAATTATTAATATCAGTCATGATATCATTTGCACCAACATTCATGAGCTGATAATTTCCCTCCTTCAAAACTCTTTGAACATTTTCAAGAACAAAAAGGGCACCTCCATCATTAACAAATTCTTTCAAACAAAATTTGTAATGGTTTAATGCTTTGACACTACCAGGATTTGCAATCAGGGTATTGATAAGCTTCACTGTGTTGCTCATATCAGTACGAACCACGTCAATCGTGTATTGTGCAAGAGTAATTAGGTCTGCACCAGATTTTGAATTAAGAAGATTTGAACAAAATGAAGGATTTTTTGCTTTCTGGCAAATGACATTTACTGGAACAACTTTAGCTGCATACGAGGATGTAGCACATAGAAAAAGCACTAACAAAAAAGAAGAATAATTAAACATTATGTTGTTTTTCGTATTAATTTTACTGTTTACTATGATTGCTTTCTACTTGATTTTATAGTCATCAATAAAGATTAAAAGATGAATTACTAATTTTTAAATAGTTTAATTATTTTAATTTTACCACTAAAAAAACTTTTTAATTAAATTTATTTTAATTATATATATATATATATATATATATATATATATATATATATATATATATATATATATATATATATATATATATATATATATATATATATATATATATATATATATATATATATATATATATATATATATATATATATATATATATATATATATATATATATATATATATATATATATATATATATATATATATATATATATATATATATATATATATATATGGGTAATTTTAGTTGACCAAATTTAATTAAAAATATTTTTTTGGGCAAAATTAAAATAATTAAACTATTTAAAAATTAAAAATTCATTTTATAATCTTTATTGATGACTATAAAATCAAGTAGAAAGTAATCAAAAAGTAAACACGAAGATAGTAAAATTAATACGAAAAACAACATAATGTTTAATTGTTCTTCTTTTTTGTTAGTGTTTTTTCTATGTGCTACATCTTTGTATATGTTTTTTTCTATGTGCTACATCTTTGAAATTTGCTACATCTTTATATATATATATATATATATATATATATATATATATATATATATATATATATATATATATATATATATATATATATATATATATATATATATATATATATATATATATATATATATATATATATATATATATATATATATATATATATATATATATATATATATATATATATATATATATATTTGGGTAATTTTAGTTGACCAAATTTAATTAAAAATATTTTTTTGCATTTAAAAATATTAGTTGGCCAAATTTTATTAAAAATATTTTTTTGGGCAAAATTAAAATAATTAAACTATTTAAAAATTAAAAATTCATTTTACAATCTTTATTGATGACTATAAAATCAAGTAGAAAGTAATCAAACTAAACACTAAGATAGTAAAATTAATACGAAAAATAACATAATATTTAATTGTTCTTCTTTTTTGTTAGTGTTTTTTCTATGTGCTACATCTTTGAAATTTGCTACATCTTTATATATATATATATATATATATATATATATATATATATATATATATATATATATATATATATATATATATATATATATATATATATATATATATATATATATATATATATATATATATATATATATATATATATATATATATATATATATATATAGTGTACACGGGTTGGGTTGGGTTGGGTTGGATCGAATTTGTCCTAACCCTTTACCTAACCTGTTCAAATTTTAATAGATTGAGTTTACCGTCCAACCCGCAATTTCACATTCAAAGCTGACCCAAACCAACCTGTTCATTTATAGATTAGATTGAATTGGGTTGGATTGGATTTATGAGTTATGCTTCAAATAGAAAAGCATTTTTTTGATATTTTTTTAGTTATAATTTTTTTAAAACAATTCAATACAACTAAATTCATTTCTAACACTCAAATTGAAGAAAAAAAATACATTATATAATGTTTCATAAAATTCACCCACATGAAATAACAGTTGATAATAGTAAAAATTTCATAAGGCATATTAGTTTCATAAAATACATAAGTTGGAAATAATACAAAGGAAAAGAAGAAACAACATTTAGTCTTAGAACTAAATATACTGACTACGTTATATAATACAAAAGATAACGTTTTTTTTTTTGCTTTTGGCAATGGTTAAAAGCGCTGCATAAAGTGACGTTGTTGTAGGTAAATGCAACACGCTTTTAAATACAAAAGTGTTGCCTTAGGTCTTCTTTAGGCAGCAGTTTTGTTTAAAAGCGCCCTCTAATGTCACCTTTAGGCAGCGCTTTTTCATGAAAAGTGATTTCTTTTGTCCCCCTTTAGGCAGCGCTTTTAAAAGCTTTGTCTAATGTATCTTTTCTTTCTATTTTAGGCAGCGCTTTTTCATAAAAAGCGCTTTCTTTTGTCCCCTTTTAAGCAGCGTTTTCTTTAAAAGAGTTTTCTTTTATCCATTTTAGGCAGCATTTTGTTTACAAAGCGCTTTCTTTTCTCCACGTAAATAGCGCTTTTTAAAAGCACTTTTCTAAAAATTACTTTTTTAGGAAGCGTTTTTTTTTTGTTATAAGCGTTGTATATTGTGCACTCTTTTAGGAAGCGTTTTTTGTTAAAAGTGTGGCATAAGTCTTATATTTTTAATTATAAAATGGTAGCACAAACCATTATAATTCAAATTTTTATCAAAACTTATCACAAACATTTATAATTCAATATAAGCCTTTATTTCGATACGTAGTCCTTATATACCATTATAATTCAACATATATATATATATATATATATACCATTATAATTCAACACATAAATCTTATAACCTTTATAATTCAACACATAAACCTTATGACCATTATAATTCAACACAAACCTCATACACCAAGAAAACATCCATAATTCTGATAACAACATATTCACTTCCAAAATTTTTGACTTTTAAACATTTATCAAACATAATTACAAATTCCATCAATCCTTAATTCACAACAACTTTCAGAACTATACAACAACTTTCAAAACTATACAACAACTTCGAGAACTATTCTTATCCAGTACAGAACATCACAACAACAAAAATCTCTAAATACCATAAACTTCACACAAAAGAAAGAAAGACAATATACCTTATATAATTCTCATCTCAAGAATGTATTGACATCATTCCTCCTTAATTTCTTCCAGTTTATCTTTCGAGTAAGTAGCACACTTGAATTCATCAAAGTACTTCATAATATAACATAATATGCATGATTTAGTTAAAACTAATTAATTAGATGAAATATCTGTTAAATATTAAAATAAATCCTAACTTATAAATCCATACCATGTTTGTATCTCTATTTGATCCAAATGAATTGTTTCTTTCATAAACCTCTATAAGAAATAACCGCAATCTATACCATTACGCTGACGAGGACACTACACATAAAAAATACAAATATATATCAGGATATATAGTTTAGCTTGTTTTATCAAGTAACATCACTATTATAATCAAAATTGTGAAAATATACCTGCACTCTGATCCTGTAATCTTGTTTGCTTTACTCTTTGGTACTCGAACTTGTCTTTGTGATCGGAATATTTGTATAGCTCTAACATAATATAAACAAATATTTAGAACAATCTCACATAAATAAATAAATAAATAAATACACGAATATTTAGAACAATCTCATCACTTACGTATGTCGCTTGCGCGAAAAATAAGGTGCCGGCATGACAGAAGAGTCGCCACCTTTCGTTATTTATCCCTCAGAGCGGGAAAGGAAACGATCGGAAAAACCTGACGAAAAAGGGTAAGACAAGGTCATCGCAACCATTGTCTGGGTTCGGGAGTCGGTTACGCAAGGGGAAGGTATTAGCACCCCTCACGTCCGTCGTACTCGACGGGATCCTCGCTTGTTTGTTTACTTGGACGGGTTAGTTATAATCTATCTACCTATCAAGGCTGGCTGAAAAAAGAAAAGAAAAATGACTCGGCAAAGCGTCGCGCTTTATGCCTACGTATTCTCATCAGAGAATGAGAAATCAGAGTCAACGTAGTTCGGCTAACTACGGGGAGGAAGATGGGGAAGGTTGCTCGCTAGGATATCGCATCCTATGCCTACGTACTTTCATCTGGTATGAAAGATCAGAGCAAACGTAGTTCGGCAAACTACGGATTAAAATGGCTCAACTAGGAGGGAGACTATCAAGTCCTACTGTTATCATGCCATGGATTCATCCTATGGTTGAGGTTTGAGCAGGGAACTCCTAGATGTTATGCATAGGTTTCAACCTAAAAGTCTATCATCAAATCCTCATCAGAGGAAATGAGAGTCCTAAGGGATCATGTCAATGATACACAGAATACAGACAAAAACATCAGCTTTAACAGTAAAATGCATGCAATGCAAGTGAGGGAGGAAATGTGTGTGGGGCTTCAGCCTCCACAAGCTCATCTCAACCTCAAGCCAGTCATGAAATAACAGTAATCATACTGAAAATAAACAACATGCTATCAAGCAATAACAGATAAAGGAAATGAAGTACCATCAGGCAAACAAAACACAAGCTTAAGAAAGAATCCACTCTCTAATCCTAACCCTAATCACAGAGTCTAAACAAATCTAAGCAAAGCTCTCAAGCAAAACTCAACCAGAAGAAATCAATCCCAGTCTTCAAGCTTCAGAACAAGCTTACCAAAGAAAGGGAGCTAAGTAAGCAGACTCATAGTGTCTTCCTCAGGAAAGCACTAGAAGGTGTATACTCAGGAGTCATACCCTATGTGGCTCAACCACTGTGATCAGTTTATATTCCTCCTCAGGAGAAATTAAACTCACAAGCAGGTTCCAACATCACTGGATATTTAGGAAATCCTATCCGAACTAGTGGAACTAAATGAACAGACTCATAGGACCTTCCTCAGGAAAGTACTAGGAGGCTTCCACTTAGGAGTTGTATCCCATGTGGCTCCACAACTGTGATCAGTTTACATTCCTCCTCAGGAGAAATTAAACTCACAAGTTGGCTCCAACATCATTGGATACTTGAGAAATCCTAGATCAACTAAGGGAACTAAGTGAATAGACCCATAGGACCTTCCTCAGGAAAGTACTAGGAGGCTTCCACTTAGGAGTTGTATCCCATGTGGCTCAACAACATGTGATCAGTTTACATTCCTCCTCAGGAGAAATTAAACTCACAAGTTGGCTCCAACATCATTGGACACTTAAGAAAGAGGTGAGAAGGAAGAATGAAAGTCATTCATAGTGCCTTCCTCAGGAAAGTACCATGAACTTCCTTCAAACTTCAGGTTCTCAAACCTCACAGACAAGGAACAGGACAAGCTCTGGGTCTCTGAATCTTGATCCACAATCTTCTCTTCA